GACTTTTTTTTTTTTTTTGAGACAGAGCCTCAAGCTGTCCCCCTGGATAGAGTGCTGTAGCATCACAGCTCACAGCAACCTCCAACTCCTAGGCTCAGGCGAGTCTCCTGCCTCTGCCTCCTGAGTAGCTGGGACTACAGGCGCCCACCACAGCGCCTGGCTATTTTTTGGTTGCAGCCATCATTGTTGTTTGGCGGGCCCAGGTTGGATTCGAACCCACCAGCTCAGGTATATGTGGCTGGCACCTTAGCCGCTTGAGCCACAGGCGCCAAGCCTGTTTTTTAGACTTTTCTCCAGTATCCTCCCTCGGTAGAGAGCAGTGACAAGCCTCCAACAGACTCACTACTTTGCAAAGTTGCATGTTGGTCTCATGAGGCTTCTGACAATGCCTACCAGGGAGAAACAGGAACTTTAGAAGGCTTGGGGCATTGCTCAGTTGAGAAGTGCTTTTAACCCAGAATTGGTCCTAGCCAACCAGTCCTATTTGTCCTCTTTGGGAAGGGCAGAAGAGGGATAGAGGACAAACCACATCAAACTGAGCTCAGCACACACCTTGTCTAGACTGGAGCACATCCCCTGCGCCCTTCCTCCACCACAGGCAGGATGGGCCAGTGGCCCTTTGGTTTCAGCTGCTGTGCTGGGCCACTGCTACCCTCCTGCCTCAGGTGGCCAGGGAGATCCCAGCACTCCAAGTCCTTGGTAAGGGTCAGGCCTGGCTGGGTGGGTTGGGGCACTTCCAGCAAACTCATGTCCTCTCCTCCCAGTTCCAGCTCCAGCTCCTCTGACAATGAGGAGGAGGAAGAGGAGTCAGCAGCTTTAGGAAACCAGCAGGACCCAGCAGAGAGGGCATCTCCTTCCTCCCAGGGGCTACGGTAACCACAAAGGGGTCTCCCTTGGGGTGTCCCAACTCTGCACTCCTCAGCAAGCCCATGACCTGGTGTGTTTAACATCTGTGCTTTCAGCTGTGTTGTGTGCCCTAAGGGCCAGCATGTGAGGGAGTTGGGTGGGGATCCAGGAAGTAGGGAGGGTAGCCATGGGAGGGAACCTCTGGGGCCCAGAACCCTTCTCTCAGGCTGGCCTGCTATGCTTTGGATATTGAAGACCCCCTAGCTCATTCTCAGGAGGGCTTAGTACATTTTATTTCGGGAAATTAGCCCCTCACATTGATTTCTCTCCCTGCTGCTGATGGTAGTGGAAGTGCAGGGAAAGGGTAGGGGTAGAATGAAGTGGCAGCTGTTAGCCACTTCTTGGGTGAATAAAAGAGTAAATGTCAAATTTAGAGGCAGCACAGGCCTCAGGTGTGAGGAAGGCCCCACACTGTGATCATGGGCAAATGAGCTATGTGCTGCAGCAGTGTCCAGCAGGTGCAGAACAGCCCTTTGAGACTTCAGGGTCTCAGCCAGCTTCTCCCCTCATGCAGTATGTGATGGAGCATTACAGGGACAAGCAGGGTGGAGAAGGGGCACTGCCTGCACGAGGGCTGGAGGCTGCAACCTCTCCCCAAGCAGAGATCTGGAACCTACTTCTAGAGGTACACTAGCCTTCCTCTCAGTATCTGGCCAGCCATGTATCCTTTTCCTTCTCTTAGTGGAATTGAGGTTGTTGTTAGACAGGCAAGCTCCCCCTCTTGCCCTGAGGAACAAGGAAGAACACTAGGATCTGTCCCACAGTGCCAGGCACCAGGACTCCGTCCAGGCCAAGCCAGTTGAGCACCTGTGCTGTGACCTCCACCTGTGGAGTCACATTCCCTGGGCTCAAATCCAGTCTGTTCTCCTTGGAAACATCAGCAAACCACTTACTCTCGCCAAGGCTCTATGTCTTCATCTAGAAATGGGGAACAGTTTTAATAACTGTTTCGAAGGATTCCAGAATTGGGCATATAGAGAGTTATCTAGTAAGTGGCAGCTATTTTGATGGTCTGGGCTTTGAGAGATCAGAATTTTCTCTCCCATGCTACTGGGAAATTAGTCCAACTCCACTGAAGAGTTCTTTCATTAAGAATGTCTCGGCTCGGCTCCTGTGGCTCAACCGGCTAAGGCGCCAGCCATGTACACCTAAGGTGGCAGGTTCGAATCCCCAGCCCGGACCCGCCAAACAACAATGATGGCTGC